AACTTCGGTAGAGTAGTGACGAGGTTAGGTCAAGACACCTACTAGGATAAAAGAAACTAAATAGGGTATAACATAGTTTAATAATAAAAAGCGAGGAAGTAAATGACAAGTAAGCAGTTCGATAATGTAATCTGACAATGGAAACTTAGGTGGAAAAGGCAACAAGGAGTGAACACGTGAGGAAAAAAAAGTAGACAAATACGGATAATTACCCGTAAAACAATGAATAAATAACAAGAACTATTCAGCTAACAAGCCTATAACATAGGAGATACAACAATAATCACAATTCAGGTACCACAGCTCGTAACCTCATTTCACAATCACAATCAAAATCTTTCTTTATATCACTGTGTGAGCCATACATTTATTTAAGAAAGCCTCGCAAATTATAAAGAAATCATCGCAAATGTGTCTACTGATAGCCTAAGGGAAACTTCGCAAATGTGAAAATTGGTTCGCAATTGCGAACCATGTCCCCTTCGCAAATGAAACAAAGAATGCAGCAATTGTGATTCTACCTAGATCTGCCTATGTTCGCAATTGCGAGTAAGGAATCGCAATTGCTATACCTGACCCTCACCTGATCACTTCGCAATTGCGCAGCTGGTGCTCGCAATGGCGACATCAGAGCACCAACACACCAACAATCCAGTTTCAGTTCAAAACCACTCTGAAGCATGCCCGAAACTCATCCGAGCCCTTTGGGATTCCAAATCAAATATCCACACAAGTCTACCTACGTACCTCCAAATTCAACCTACGTACCTCCAAATTCGAATTCGGGCATATGCCTAAGTCCAAAATTATGACACGAACCTATAGGAGCTATCAAAATACTATTGTGGGGTTGTTAACACAAAAGTGAAATATTGGTCAATATTTCTGATTTGGGCTTCTAAGCTAAGAATCAAAGGGTCCAAATCAATCCAAAATCTTCTTGGAACGAAACTTACCAATCCCGCAAGTCATAAAATCACAAATGCACATGTGTGAAGCAACAAAAGGGAAACCAAGGCGCAAATACACAAAACGATCGGTCCGATCATCGCATGTACCGAGTGTGATTTACTCATACCTCACTTCTTCACATTCTTTGTGCAGATCCAAGTACCACAGAGAGTGCTAATCGTTACTGCGCTGATCTCGAGTTGCCATGGACACTTCAAGGTAAACATGTTGTTCCGATCGCATGCCTAGAAGTCACATTTCATTGTTTTCCTTACTACTGTTTATTGAAATTCCAAAACAGTATTGTATTTTGAGATTTTTTGTCTATTCACTGTAGAGCTTATTACCGGATTTTGGGATGGTGATTGTTGTATTATCATATTGGCTATGTTTTAGTCCATTTTTTTTTAGTTTTATTTAAATATTAAGTTGTTATATTCTGTTCGGTGTTGTTGTGTGATAAGCTTACCTAATCTTAGGAATTAGGTGTCATCACGATCCTTAAGGTGGGATTTTGGATCGTGATAATCATATAGACCTATGAAAAGTCTCAAATAAAGGGGTGTGGCGTTAGAACCCAAAACAACATGTAATTAAGTCGGTACACCAAGTTAGCAATCAATGTTACAAATAGATTTACATGAAATTTCTTTTTATGTAACATGATTTTCTAAATATTTTTTACACCATCAAAACTATATTATAGTATCCAAGATTATTGGAAGGAGAAAACTTAAATAAAATTTAAAAACAAAGATGAAGAATATTCCGACGAAATACTCGAGAGTGGTGTGATTATTTCATTGAAGTTATTTTCAGAATCCTAAAAACGATAAATGAGATCTGTGTGGTTATTATTTCGTTTATAGATAAACGAAATATTGGTGTGGTTATTTTCAGAATAAAATCAAAATTTTAGAAATCTGGGGAGACGGGCATAAAGTCTTCCCTCTGTGACGATTATGATATTATTTTCTTCCATAACATTAACGGATAGGTGATAATACAATAATTTAGAGGCGGAGACAAAATTTTAGTTTTATAGATTTTGAATTTTATAGGTTCAAATGATAATAGTTGCGTTCTAAATTTATTTTTTGTATATATTTATGAATTTTTTAAGACAAATATATTATTTGAATAAAGGTTATTGGATTCGACCGCATACGGACTTCTAGCTCTGCCGTTGCAATAATTCCCCTTCCGGTACCCAGATACTAAGACAGCCAAGTAATCCCAATAAGGATTCCAATTATAGACTCACTAATAATGACTTACTGAAAACGAAATTTAAGTGGGACAAATTTATAGTTACACCAAAATCTATTGATTTTGTTGCCTTGAACTATTTTGGTAATTTATAATTAGTGTACTGCTGTGAATTTTCTACTTAAGCAATTTTATCACAAGAAACACATGTACAATAGATTAGTTGCATTGAACATGAGGAAAATCTTACAATTATCGTTCTTTGCTAGCATCATTGTTCTTCTCACATTTGTTTCAGGTATTACTTTTCACCTATCCTTTTTCTCCTCCATTTAGGCTTGATAGCATTAAAAGGAAAATGTCGCACAGAAAAACAAAATAGATTCAGGCACTGATCAAAGATTTTGCAAAATTTTATCAATCAAAATAACTGATCTTTGTTGCATTATAAGGGTCTTGAGTTTTCATCTTAAGTACTCCATCCGTCTCATATTATGTGTGGTGTTTCTCTTTTACACGCCCCTTAAAAAATATTAATTAGGAAAGGGATTGGACTATTCAACCCTTATATATCTCATAAGATATAATCTCTTTTATTGAATATTTATTCTATTTATGTGGTATCTCCATTTTCAAGAACAAGTATTACTAAGGGTAAAAAGGGAAAAAATAAATCAATTTTGTATTTAACTTTTAAAATGACAAATAATTTGAGACAACTATTTTTAGTAATCACCACTGTTAATATGAGACGGAGGGAGTATATAACATACGGTCCCCACTACAAAAGATTTTTCTAAATGTAGTAGGCGTGTAATTTTTCCAAAGATATTAGTTGTTGAAGCGGGTGGGGGGAGGAACAAGAAGCTTTCTTTTCTTTAATAATTTTGTAGATAAAATTATCCTGCAGTTGTTGGTACTGAAGGATTTATGACTAATTTTGATAAGATGTCTTCAAATAGATGGGAAATTTGTGCTGCTTGATCAAGGGAAGGTATGTAATGCCTACACAGGAGTAAATCAGTGCAGCTTCGGACCTGATCATGGTTGCTTCCAGCTTTGCACCTTACGTTATAAAGTAGCTCTTACTACTGCATTTTGTGAAATATCAGCAGGTGGAACCACTCAATGCCGTTGTACATTTAATTGCTAGTCTGCTTATATATGTAGCCAAGAATGAAACGCAATACAAAGTGAGATTTCATAGATTATTATTTCAAGGGCAAATAACAATTTTGGTCCATAAATTATTGTTTTATTTTCGTTTTGATATCATATAAATCGACGAAGCACATGATGGTGATTAGATGATGGTGATCCAATCTAAAGAAATCTACAAACTGGATCATCCACTTTTAGTATTTTCCACTTCAAACTCTTATATATTCAGTGGATGAAGGCAAAAATTATGTCAACTAAAATATTCTAATAGCTTATCATAACTCAATATAAAAGTTGTGCATTTACTTTAATAGCTCAAATAGACTAGAATAATATGATAATATGCACTCAATTATCATAAAACCATATTGTTTTCTTCATGCACTTAAAAATAAATTCTATTTGCTCAAATATCTCATATGAATTTCATGATATTTCACATTATTAGATTTAGCTAACATATGAAAAATTTAATTTAATGGGTAATATTTAACCAAACTAAAATTATTTCTACAAAGAAATAAAATAATTTTCATAAAAAATTTATGTAGACAATTAATGCTCATAATTATTTTATACATAAACTATATCCTAATGTAATATAATTGTCAAAACGTATAAAAGTCTACTGACGTTTCATGTAGATTTAATGTGTATTCTATAAATCATTACAACAGTATTTAAATTTTTATATGCATGCACATTTTGAGAAATACTCTTGACTTACAAAATGAAATTACAAGCTAATTAAAAATTATTTTTTTACAATATTTTGGTGACACAATACTTGAGTTCAATTAATTGAATATGCTCTCACTTTAGTTAGGGAAGTCAAAGTTGCCAATATCTCTCTTTATATACGTGACACTTCTTTTTAAGCACGAATTGCATTTTTCTTTTACTAGGAATTTTCATATTTTTTATTGATATCTCACTCGCAAAGACCAAAAACACACACAAAACAAAATGCCGCTTCAGAAACAATATTGTTTCCATCTACACGGTTTTTTACTCTTTTTATTTTCTGTCTTTGTCAAAAAATAGTGCAAATCTACACTTAGAGCTTCAAGCTCGATAGGTCCTTCAATGGTGGAAAATTCTAGATTGACGAAGAAGAAGGAGAATGAAACACTTAGTAAAATGATTGTGTGTATTGCTCAATATCTGCAGAGGAGTATATACAGAGGTGCTTCTCCACTAACTCCACTAACTAACATTTAACTTACCAATGGGCCACTGACATGTGTCACTCCTAACTAACCAATTAACTAACTAATCTAACTATTAATAGCCGTCAACTATCAGTATAAGAGGGAAAAAATTAACACAATACAAATACAATACAAATACAGATCATAACACTCCCCCTCAAGCTGAAGGGTGCAGAATATTCGGAATACCAAGCTTGCCTAAAAGATGCAGGTGTTGAGCTTGACATAATCCTTTGGTGAGCAAGTCAGCAAGTGGATCTCGAGTATTCACATAGACTATCTTGACAATACCATCTTTGATCTTGTCTCGAATGAAATGATAGCCAACTTCTATGTGCTTAGTACGCTCATGGAAGATGGGGTTGGCTGCTATTTGCATAGCAGATTTGTTGTCACTGAATACTGTAATTGGAGTCTGAATGGCCATACCTAGTTCCTTGAACAGGCCAAGTAATCAAGTAATCTCTGCTACAGCTGAAGGCAAGCTTCTATATTCAGCTTCAGCTGAACTTCTCGACACAGTTTGCTATTTTTTTGACTTCCAAGACACCGAATACTCTCAAAATTTGATGGCATAGCCTGTGACTGATCTGCGAGTATTTGGGCAAGCTGCCCAATATGAGTCACATCAACAGCTTAATTCAACAGCAGCCCCAACTTTCAACCACACCTCTTGACCTGGAGCATTCTTCAGGTATCTCACCACTCTAAGTGCAGCTTCCCAATGTGATCTCTTAGGATGCTGCATGAATTGACTTAATGTTTGAACATCATAGTTGATGTCTGGTCGTGTAATAGTAGCATACATAAGTTTCCCAATCAGCTTCTGGCACAAAGTAGGATCCTGTAATGTGACATCTCCCATCATGCCATTGAGCTTACCATATTCAACTGTAGTTAGTTTCGGACTAGTTTCCATAGGAGTGGTAGCAGGTTTAGCTCCACTGAGGCCCATATCAGAGATGAGCTCTAGGACATATTTTCTTTGGTTGAGTATGATGCCAGACTTTGATCTGAGAACCTTAATACCCAGGAAATATTTGAGTTCCCCCAAATCCTTTAGCTTGAACTTCTGATGGAGTACTTACTCGGCTTCAAAGATCAAGTCTGCATTGCTGCCTTTGATGAGCAAGTCATCAGCATAGACTAAAATGATTACTATGTCACCTTTTCTCTTCAAGGTGAATAGGGAATAGTCATGACTACTCTAAAAAAATCCTGTTCCTAGCAATGCTTCTGTCAATTTAATGTTCCATTGTCTAGAGGCTTGTTTAAGCCCATATAGGGATTTGAGTAACTTGCAAACTTTCTTCTCCCCCTGTCTCCTGAAGAGTTCAGGTGGTTCTATGTATACTTTCTCATAAAGATCACCTTGCAAGAAAGTATTGTGTACATCAATTTCTTATAAATACCAACCTCTGGACATTGCTAGTGCTATCACAAATCTTACTATGACCATTTTTGCCACAGGGAAAAAAGTGTCATGATAGTGAAGACCTTTCTACTAGCTATACCCTTTGGCAACCAATCTAGCCTTGAACCTTTCAACCTCTCCATTGGCATGATATTTAATCTTATATACCCACTTAGAGCCCACATTGTTCTTTCCTGCATGTAAATCAATAACTTCCCAAGTGTGGTTGTCCTGCAGTGCTTGGATTTTCTGTTGCACAGCCTCAATCCACCTAGTGTCTTTGACTGCTTGTCTGAAAGCCTTTAGTTCCACCAAGCTTGAAAATTTAGACAAGTAACTGCAGTAAGTGGGGGTAACACCTTGATGTGAGAGATAATATGCAAAGGGATATTTAGTGGAAGTCTTGTTTGGTGCTATATAATCCTTTATCCAAATGGGCTCCTTTGATTCCCTAGCAGATCTTCTGATAAATGCTGGTGGTGATATTGCATCTGCTGCTTATGGTGCCACTTTCTGAACTGTGTCTTCCTGTGATGTTATAGCCTGTTCAGGTTGATCACCTGCACCTTTAGAGATTGGCTCTTCAGGTTCAAGATTATCAGGTGCATCAAGTGTCTGAACTGCAGTAGCAGGTGTTTGCACTTCCTGCACATCCTAATCTTTTACACTATCAGCAATATAAAGGAACCATCGTTGTTCTGTGTCTAGGTTTGCAGCAAAAGGAAATTCTATCTCTTTAAAGACTATATTCCTACTTACAAACAGTAGGTCTAGCTCTTGCAGCAAACTTATCCCCTCTTGGTACAGTGATTGCATAACATAAGCATCCAATTGATGTGACGCACACGCTATATGACGAGTGTGGGGTCGTGCACTGTTGGGGATTGCTACTTAGTCCGTCCCGAATGACTATTTTACCGTGTATCTGATTGAAATCTATTTGCTATCATCTTGTTTTGGGCTGAATGTCATATTTGGGCTTCGTGCCAACTATTTGAACCCTTAGGGGATTTTTATTGATATTTCCTCACTGTTTTGACTTTATACTTGAACTCTGTCATGCTATATTCCACTATTTTCATAACTCAGCCATGTTTACTCTGTTTTAACACTTAAATGATATTTTGAGCTGAGAATCATGTTTTGCTATTGCCCGAGTGGCTTGTGAGGATTTTGACTGAGTAAGCCCAAGGGCCTATTTGTGAGGAAAAAACTGATTATGATTATTAGGCCGAGGGCCTAAGATATGTACGCCACGAGTTGGCTTGTTGATATGAGGCCGAGGGCCTAGTGATGATACCACAAGATGGCTTGATATTGTGCTTGGGCCGGAGTCTGCACACCCCCAGTGAGCGCGGGTACCCATTGTGATGTGAGATATAGCCCGAGGGGCTGGTATTGTTGACATTGTGCCTAAGGGGCAATCCTTTATGTGCTTATTTGTCTTATTTGTCTGTCATTTACCTGTTTAATTGTTGAATAGGCATTTCTTGAAGTTTAAACTGAACTTATACGATTTTACATATCTTTACTGAACTACTGTTCTTACCTGTTTTACTGCTCCATTATAGCCTATAATGTGCCTTACGTAATTTCATGCTTTTAGTCTTTATTTATGATTATTACTCACTGAGTTGGAGTACTCACTTTACTCCCTGCACCCTGTGTGCAGATTCAGGCGTATTTGGTCCCGCTCCTAACTTTTATCTTTCCAGCTCAGGCGGATCCAAAGATTCTCTAGGTAGCTGCCGGCGTTCGCAGCCCAGAGCTTCTTCCCTATCTTATTTCTCCTTGTTTTAGTTTTTGTATTAAACTTTGTAGACTTTTTCTGAGTATTCCTGATTTTTTGATGATCATGACTAGTGACAACCCGATATCGGGCTGTGTTGGGTTGTTCTTCCGCATATTCGTACTGTTGACTACTTAAATGTTGGATTATTTATCATATTTTAGACTTAAATTCTCATTGTTAGCTGCTTAAAACTGAATTGGGCAAGTGTCGGCTGGCCTTGTCCTTACAAGAGGCGCCATCACGACTGAGTCTGGGTTTAGGGTCGTGACAGCTTGCAGGATTGACTTGGGACAGTCCCGGGCTATTGGTACCAGAAAACCATACGGGCAGGGGATTTTTAAAGATGATGTGGTTGAAGAAGAATGTCGACCTAGTGTGCTTGAAGGACTCCTACATACCTTTCGAATACTTGTATGAGAGGTATGGCCATATCAACTCTTTCCGCACTTACCATGATGAGATCTCTCTCACTTCTCTAGGTCATATACACCACAGAGTGTTTGTATTCATTGTATGCTTTCTAGGCCTGATAGTGTTCCCAATGAAAAAGGGAAGAATCCACACTAGGTTGGCCATAATCGCTAAGAATCTGATGGAAGGGATTCAAGGACTAACATATACCATAGTCCCCATGATCATAGCAGACATCTACAGGGCTCTAGAGCGTTGTCAAAGAGGGGTCAAGCATTTCAAGGGTTGTAATTCGTTACTGCAGTTATGGTTGCTGGAGCATTTCCAAAAGGATCGCTATCGTCAAGAATTTCCATGAAGGGCTTGGAACGACCATATTGCCTTCTATCACCCTAAGCAAATGACCTATATTCCAGACAGATTTGCTCAGCCGGAAAGTGCCAAGGAATGGGTAGAGTTCTTCGACAATCTGGCCGAGGAACAAGTGCAGTGGATGTTTGAATGGTTCCCAACTAACGAGTTTATTATCAGATCCACGGAGCTCTACACTTGGCTGATCGGGTTGAGAGGGAAATACCCATATGTCCCTATGTGAGTTATGAGGCAAGCAGGCAGAAAATAAGTTGTACCAAGGGTTGTCAAAATGTGTCATTTCAGGGCAGACTTCCAAGATGATGATGTCCCCTACAAATGCCAAGCTCGGCACATGTGGCACTGCAAAATCATTGTGGAGAAAAGCACCGTTGAGCTAGACAAGTATCATGCAGGGTGCGAGCCTCTTTACCTGGCATGGTTGGAGGACAATCTGAAAGGAATGGTGGCACCAGGGATCGGTCGAGGGAAAAGAATCATAGATGAGGAAGCTGAAGCTCAAGTCAAATAAATAGGCTGCGCAAAAGGGTCCACGACTCTGAGAATGAGCACCGGGAAATACATGAGAGGAATGTAAGGTTGATCGAGGAGTGGAAAGAAATGGTAGTCACTTCCAACAAAAAACTGGAATACATGGAGCGAGGAATAGTGGAGCTGGAAGGCAAAGTCATAAAGAGGATTGAAAATTTCCAGAAGCTGAAGGAACTGAAGGAGGACATTTGGCCAGCGCCTACTTGCTGCTGGGACTGTGCGAGTTGGGGTATTTATATGATGGGGTTCGGAAGATCGAATCTGCGGAAGGTCCTTCTGGGACCAAATAGGCTAGATTTACTTGATTTTCCTAAAATGTAATAAGGTCAAGTGCTAGTAGTGACTTATTTTATTATTATCTTAGCGTCGTTTTGGGATTTGTATATTTTTATATTATGAAATAAAGCATTTATTGGCATTCAAAGTTCTTCGAATCTATTTGTCGCTAGGCCTACCTCTGGCACAACGAGGTTCCCAAAGTAGGACACGAATTTACATTCCCGCAATATGTGTTTAAATACTGCAAACGTTTTAGGATCCTCACTGACTTGTTACCTTTTTGTTTTTTTGCTTATTTTTTTTATTTCTATTCCCTTCCCCTTAGGTTGGTTCACTCATACTGGCCTCATCAGCATATCATACCAGATCCAAAGGCCCTCCACCTCCTCTTTCTCCAAGCAACACAAAGGGCAAAGGAAAGACAAAGATGGACGACTTGAGCAGAATCCGAAAGGAAAATGCTGAGAACGCAGAGACTTCAGATGGTCGTAGTACTCCGACCCCGAATGACCTGGTTTTGAGACTGGAACAAAAGATACTAGAACTTCAAGGAGAACTTGAGCAAGTCCGCAACTTGGTAACCCTAACACTTACCCTCAATGTCCCTGATATCCACCACCAAAACACAAAGAACCCAACATCTTCTCAAAACGCACAAAATCATCAGCCACAAAATCCTACCACACCAAATCAATACGCAACTCCACCCCAAAATATCAATCCCTGCCAATAACAATTCCACCACAACATCATCATCAACCAATTCAGTACCGACCAACCACCACTTATCACACTCCCCAAAACACACAACCCATTCCCAATCCACAAAACTCCACCAATGACCATCACTACACCCAAGTTCCTGGCACCCATCAAAGCAATTCTATATATGTGGAAACTATACCTCATTATACCAAACCAATCTCCTGTGTACCGAAATTCTTCGAGAAGGACCTGCTCATTAAGAACATGGCTGAAGAACTCAAGAAATTGACAAGCCGAGTTCAAGGTGTTGAAGGCGGCAAAGGAATAGAGGGTTTGAATTATGAAGACCTATGCATACAGCCGGATGTAGAACTGCCAGAGGGATACAAACCTCCCAAGTTTTAGATGTTTGACGGCACAGGTGATCCCAGGTTTCATTTGAGGACTTAAT